AAGTGTGTGACCCATGGACAAGAAAATAGAACAAAATCTATCAGCTATAATAGCCAGCCTTCTGCAAGGTAAAGAGCCAGCCCCATGCCACTGGGCTCAGGTTACTCATTAGCTTTTACATACAAGGTAGTAGGGTCTGGGTCAATATTCAGAGTTGTTTCCCTTTCATACAGACTCAGCTGGAAAAAGACAACTCTGTTATCATCCTTAAATTTTAAAAGAAGCTTTAAAAAAAAAGCTCATGGCACTGTGTTGAAATCTAGCAGTAGTTTTAAGTGAGAAGTTGAGATGTTTTGAATAAGTACTCAAACCTACAAAGTGATGTCCATGTGATGGTTTCAACAGATGAAACAAACCCCCCTGAAGTTAAAAATATATGTCTCCCATTTTATGTGTTATATTGATTTTTAAAAAATTCTCTATAAGGAGTACTTATAGAGAAGAGTACTTATAGAGCAAGAGCAATTGCAAGAACAGTTGGATAATGTGAATGTAGGGTAGATTTTAGAAACCTAGATCTCAGTAAAGTAACATGGGGTTTTTGGCTTAAAGTTTTTTCCATGAGCTGTATTCTTTGTGGTGAAGTTAGTAATTATGTTGTGTATCTACAAATTGAAATCTGATTTCCTCATTACAAGACTTTAGCTTAATATACAGGTATTTAGAGTGGCAGGGCTTTTTAAAAATAATTTTATATGTTTTTTCAAATCTTTTTAGGTTAAAGCTGTGTTTGCAGGAGAGAAAATTTTTTTGTGAAGTTACGCCCCTGCCTTCTCAGAACTTTGAATGGGCTAAAACAGTATGTTAAGTATATGAAAATTAAAATCTAACATGCAAATTCTAGAGGGAAAGAATATTTCAGCTGAAGAGAGTTATTTGGCTCTTCATGCAGTGTTTAATACAGGTTTTCAATTCACATTATTTTGCACTGTGCTACACTTATTTAAAAACAAACCCAAAAACTGACTCACTTTAAAATACTGAGAAACAGAAATGTCCAAATTGTTCACATTTATTTCTCATTTATCCTTCTGTAGTTTGAGATTTTTTTTTTTTTTTTTTCAAGCGGTGGGTAGTAATTTCTGCTTTTCATTCCTCTGTCTGATCACAGATTCCCTAATTTGTAACATAATTGGTTTAAATATTGCCAAAATATCTTTCAGAATGTTAAAATACTTTTTAGGATGTATCTAGATCATCTTCAGTGGGGAAAATTAGCACAGTGAATAGAATTCTTGTAAAAGGAAAACAAAAGCTTGTAAAAAATTTACTTGCTTAGAACAGTATTTTAGAACACTGCTATGTTTAAAGTAAACATAAGACTTGCTATTTAGGAGAATATGAGTTGAGCTGTGAGGTTGTCTTTAATCTGTTTCCACATGTCCACCTTCTTTGATGGGCTTACTCTCAAGAGTACCAGAAATAGGTTGCTTCAAATGTCTTCAAGAAAAAATTAGCACCTCCCTGCGAAGTTACTACAAATAACTGTAGACTTTTCCAGGTTTTGTGTAATCTTTCCCAGTAACTTCAGAAGTCTCTGAAACTGTCATCTGCTTGTTTGTCACAGTTTATTAATTCACAAAGAGCTTATCTGCTGCAAGTGGCTCAAAATTACGTGGCAGGTGGGAGAGGAAGGCTTCAGATTACTTGCCCACGTTTTCTCTGCAGACACCTAGAATTGCCTCGTTCTTTTCTCCAAACCTCTCCGTGTGACATTTCTGTCCCCAGGATACTCATTGAGCTAGAAATTGTGTGCCTTCAGTTGGAGTAAAGGCTCACATGAAGGTCAAGGAAAGGAACTTCCAGTCCATATTTTAGAAGCATTTGTTTCTTTTGGGAATGAATACCACAAGCACTGAAGGCATATTTAGAAGGGGACAAGTCTTCACTATTGTGAATAGCCTTGTATTTTCTTCCAGTTAATCTTCCACGCAGTATTTTGTTGGTAGTCTGTTCCTTAAGGGAATTGAATTGCTCTAAAAAGAAAATTCAGCTTCAGATGTTGCCTTTTTGTTGGAAAGAAAAGAAAAAACCTTTAAAAAAAATCATACAGTTCTTATTCAATGCAAAATAGAGGATACCTGTATGCAGTCATCTTTTCCAATGTGTGTTTTTCAGTCCTTATTCAAAGGGATGCACAAAACTGTGTGCATGCTTAAATGGAAATTCTAATCTTCAACTCCGTAGCATTAGAAGTAGCTTCTTCCATAGGTGTCTGTTGAATTTGCTGCAGTTCAGTAGGTAGTGAAGACAATTTAAAACATTATTATTTTCTAATTCTGGTTACAGGTGACCTGTGTATGTTAATTGTAAACTTTGCAGAGCTTTTTATTTTATGTGCTGGTTCTCCCTGGTCTTTCCTAGCAGGAAAATAATTCTAATTTGTAGACCTTCGCTTTTTTCAGGTCACTTAATAAGAGATCAAGACTCTAAAACATCTTCTGTAACTGTTCTGATGTTATGTGGCTAGATTTGTCTTCTTAGTTTCTTTTGCCATTAATATGCCCAAAGCGTTTTTACTTTGTTTGGTTCTCCCCTACCCGTGACTTTTTAGGAATTGATCCCACTCATACTGTGTACAGCCTGCCTCCACCCTGAGCCCAAAGAGAGAGATCAGCTTCTACACATACTGTTCAATTTGATCAAACGACCAGATGATGAACAAAGGTGTGTTTGCGTCTGTGTTGCGGCACAAAAAGGAACGTTTCTTGCTTTGTCAGAGAAGCAGAACTAATAGAAACTGGGTATTATTGGATGGTTTTAAACAAGTTGCACTTAGGTGATGCTTTGCTGGTATAGTATTGACAAATGTATGTGGACTTCAGGACTCTGCATTTCATTTCATGGAATGTAATCATGCAATTGGTTAGCTGCAGTGTAACATTTCAGTTCTTTTGTTTAAAGATGAACTGAAACACTTTGTTAAAATGAGCTTTGAGATCATAATTCTTAGCAATGATTGATACAGAAGCCAAAACAGCTGTTTTAAACTTCTGTCTTTGTATGTCTTAATGGTCTTTGCCAGCTAGCTGTCATGTTCAGCTGGAGAAAACAGTATGAGAAAATGGTACTCTTCCTAATACAGTTCAGTGCTGTGGTAGCAGTAAATTCAAAAGACTAAAGCAGTCATATAGCTCTGGCAGGTGTTAAGAGCTTTGTTTTATTCTGGTTAAGACTTTGGGTCAAAGTGTACTTTGTTTTGTTTTATAAATTTAGTTCTTCCTTAGTACTTAGGAAATCTGTCTTTGTACCAATCTTGATAAAAATATCCTTAAGGTTGAAAGACAGTACCCAAGCTGGTATGTTTCCTTCTCTAGCTGTGGAAAGATTTTTCCATATTTGATATGTAGCTCTTCCATTATTTTCATTAGACATATTTTGTAAGGCATATTTGTCTATCATTGCTCTATTCTGTCATCAGACAAAATAGGGCTTATGAAATAGGTGGAAAACATTTCTTTCAATGATTTAAAACAGAAGTGTTCTGGTGTCTTTCTAAATTGTTCACGTGGAAAAATGTGTGGATAAAATACAATTGAAAGAGATGGCTTTGGAGACAAATGCGTAAATAAATAAAAGCAATTCACAGCACAGCGGCACCATGCAAATAGAAATTACAAAAAGCTGCAGTCCCTATTCTACTTCATATTTATTAGAAATCTGTTGCTGAAATGTCTACCATTATCTAATTATTTTGAATGTCATATGAAGATTGAGAAGCTAAAGCCAAAACTGGTTTTGGGGGAAGGAAGTTACATTGAAGTCTCTTGTAGTTAATTTGTCACAAGATTGGTGGCTTATCAAGTAGATTTTCCATATGCCTGTTCAGCTGCAGTTTGTGTCTTTTCCAGAAGCTAAGAAAGAGGAGAATCCAAGCTTCTTTCTCCTTGAAGTTATTAATTCTTTCTTATGAAGTAATTATTACAAATTAATAATTTCATATGTAAAAATAACTCATTTTAATCATAAATTGGTGAAGAATAATCTGCCATAACCTCCAGGACAAAACGTGTGTACATAATGCGCATTTACAAACATCAAAATCATTATCTGTTCTAAAGGTGCCATAACACCTGACTGAAGAATAAGTAAACTTCCATCCAGTAAAAGAGATTCTGAATACAAATGAGATAGAAAATATTTACTCAGAATTTCAGTTGGTTTTTATACATAGATATTTTTATAGAAGTGTATTATGCATTCTTGGGGTTTAGCTAAATAAGTTTAAATAACACTTTAGTAGTTTTGTATCATGTGAAGTAAGCAAAAACATTTATGTTTAGTCACCAGAACAATGGTATTATCTCATATCTTACTTGTTTATCTTCCACTGTATTGTATAGGCAAACATTATACATTAAAGTAGCAGCTGAAAACAAGTTGACTTTTGTTAGAATTCAAGACATTTAATGTGACATTGCATTTTAAATAAAAGAACTCAGTAAAATAAGTATATGACTTTAAATATTTGGCCTTGTAAAGTATGTTAAGTTCTGCAGAAATCCTGTATTATAATTCTTGCCCATGTGACCAACTTTTTAATGTATCAGGTATGGCATCTTGCCACCATCCTGTTACACTAACATTACATTTCACCAGGCCACTTTCATCCTCAAGGCTTTGTTCCTAAACATACAATTCACTTTTCAAAATTTCTATCAAATTCTCTTTGCAAAGGAGCAAATATGTGTTAGCTTTACTTAAACCTCTTTTTGGGCAATTAATTTGGTTTTGGAAGCTAAGGATCCATGAAGAAGTCAGATTAATGTTGCAGTCTTTTAGTACTAGTTTATAACATAGATCAAAATACAAACTTTTTAAGATTTCCAGGTGATGTACCCAAAAGCAGCACCCTTAATGGAAAAAAACTTAAAATACATTAAGATTAGTGTATCTAGTACGACTTATCATGGGTCATATGGTACCACCTCTTACAGAACACACATAACTTGCTGACATTAATGAAAACTCTGACTTTTTAATACAACCTTTAGGAGTGACAAAAAAACCTCGAACTGTGTAATATAAGATTGAGTTCTGCATACAGTCACTTTCTAAAAACCTCTAGAAAGTGTTTAGAAGTGATAAATTATGTCTGTTCTGCTCTAACTACTGCCTTGTTCTTCCAGTGTGATTCTTGCTTTCTCTTCAGTTTTACTTTTGGTTTGGTGAAGCTAACTAGCACTCTGCTGAATCATACTGGTTTGCTTTATGATCACTTAGGCAAGAGCGTAAGTCCAGAACCTGGAGAGAACTCTGGGGAAAGTGTTCCCAGCATCCTGATAACAAAAGGGCTCATTATGACAATAAGCAGAAAGTAGTTTTCCCCGTATTAAGCCTAGACTGCAGTTTTTGCAACAGCTTGTTAACATGTTTTTGTTTCAATGGCCTGTTGTGACTCTTGCAACCTTTCCTTTCCCTGAAATACTGACTGCTGTCATGTACTTTTAAGATGGTTACAGCAAAATATTTAAAGATTTTTTTTTAATATTTTTGCAATATCTTAAAGTTCCCTACTTTACAGGCGAGGCAAAAGTAAATCTGAGTTAATTTTGAAATTTTATGGAACTTTTTTGAGAAGGTTTGATTTGAAAATAATTTGTATTTTTTTATTTTCCTCATTTTTAATGCAGAAGATTTCAAGTGATTACTTTATTGTGCTATTTGTGTCTTAACTATCATATAAAAGTATATTCTGATGCCCCATTCTGTGATTAGGTACAGCGTGTAGAACCAAAGACAGGCATTGAAATAACTATTTTGTGTGTTGCAGAACTCAGAATTACAATGTGCTTTTGTCTCCATATTGCTATCACATATCAGCTGTTGGTTTCTTGAATCTTATCTAATCCCTACATTTTTGTTTTTCCCCTCAACCATTTTGCCTTGATCTAAAGTCTAGTTCTCTGTATGCAGCAGACACAGGGTCAAAAAACCCCAAACCAACAACAAAAACTTTGCAACACAAAACCAAAGGGCTTGCTCTTGTGGTTGATCTAAAGAATGCTGGGGCAAGAAAATTTAATAGACTGTTTCTCCTCAAAAAGATTCTGAAAGTGAATGAACCTTTTTAATGGAGTATATTGTATAACTGGTTGAGAAATAACCAGCAGAATCTCTGCCTTTCAACCTTAAGGGTATGCTGTTAGCTTCAGGAAATATTTAGAAGTTTAGATGTAACACTAAAATGGTAACAAATTAATTCTGGATTATTTTCCACAAAGTAGTAATAAACAAATTCACAGTTGTGTCCTTATCTTATGTGGAGGTGATAAAATGAGTCTCGTGTCTACATGTTACCATTTGAAACTGGTGAAGTGTTGATATAGGCACTAGTAGTAAATAGAACTGGTGAGTTGAGTGCAAAGCTGGTACCATTCCAGTCTCATTGATAGGAGAAATAGAAGGAAAAAACCTCAGCAAGATAAGCACTCATTAAATAAAAGTTAACATTTCAGAAGTTACAGCTAAGTACAATTCTATTGAAATTTAAAATTTATCTCTGTGCCTATGAAATTGATGGAGCAACAGGGATTTCTTACAGACTTTGAGGAAATTTTAAAAAAGCAAGAATATAAATGCAGATTACTCAGGTGACTGTAGATAGTACTGATTGATTAATTGCTTACCGTTTAGAATGAGTTCTAGAAGATTTCTGACAATAGTAAAACCCAGTATTTGGGGAATGATGACAGTAACTTAGATGTTAAAATGTTGCAAAACCGTGTGAGAAGAAAACCAAAGTTCCCTGTTTTGAACAGAGTTCATTAAATCTCACTATTTAGTATCTTCTGAATGCTTCTATATAAAGCCATTTGTGTACCTGACTATAATACTGGTAGTATGATAGGATCTAAGTTACTTAATACTTTTAGTGCATAATGAATCATAATATTCAGTAACAAAAATTAAATAAGATATTTAGTCAGAAATTCTCAATCTCAGACATTAGGAAACCAGAGATTGCCAAACTAGAGATTCTCAGGCTCTGATTTGTGGAGTTTGGGATGTGCAAGTTTCTGGAAAACACATATTAAATAGAAAACAAGATAGAATTGTAGAGTAGCTTGGATTGGAAGGGACCCTCTGGTCCCACAGACTCCCACAATGAGCAGAGACAATAGTTGCCTTCAGTTTAACATGTAGCCTTTAAGTCAGTGAGTATGGTGTGAAACGTTGATACAATTACCTGTTGCCTGACAGCATCTGCCTTTCCTAACTTAAAGAATATATTCTGTTAATAAAGTTCTATTATATATAGATTAAAGCTTTAAATTTATGTTTTCAGACAGATGATACTGACTGGGTGTGTGGCATTTGCCCGACACGTTGGACCAACACGTGTAGAAGCTGAGCTCCTACCACAGTGTTGGGAACAGGTAACTGATTATTTTCTACTTCACATGGGAAAATGAGTTAAAAACTCACACATGTTGAGTTTTATTTGTTCGAGAGGGAGGCTGTTTCAGTTTTGTTTTTCAACAAATGGCAGTTCGAAGTATTTCTGAGAAAGATATTTGGATCTTTTTTTGTCTTCATTATATATACTTTCACAAAATATTAAACTTAACTTAGAAGCAGGAAGTTTGTCAAAGACTATCTGGAGATTCTGTTTAACTGCAATATACCTGCATAAGCTTGTTGTATTGAAATGTAGATATGCACAGGTTCATCATCAGTGTTGTGTAACCTATAGCCAGGTAGATTCCTTTATGATTTGTACTCTAACTTCCAGACTGTTGGAAATCCATTTTCATTTGCTGATTTTTTTGTATTGCACTAAGTGCCTGGAGCTGTGCACTTAGCTAGTTTAAATTCTTAAACAGAATTACTGATCAAAGTAGTGAGAAATAAGTCCCCTGTAGATGAGACCTGTAAGATCAGCCTGAAGTACACGTGACTTCAAGAATCACAGTGACCTTTACGACAGATATTCCAAATCAATAGAAGTAACCAAACAGCCAAACTGAAATGCTTATTGCTTCATCCGAGGCACAGAAACAGAACCAAATGAGTTCAGGTGGAAATGCATGGTATTTTCCTACCAGAACGAGGAAAAAGGAGGTCATGTTGCCTCAAAGACAGTGCCTACCTAAGCCCTGACTGAGTGGGAACTCTTGCTTTGATGATCCAATTATCAGATCCTTTTGACTTGACAGTTGTCTGCTGTTTCTTGCATAACACAGCCACCTGTGTTTTACAGTGAGGTCTCAGCTTTAATACTTTCTGACAGTAAGAGTACACATTATATGCAGCATGCTTATATGTATGACTGGTGTATCTCATTGACTAAATTAAGAACTCATGGCAATAGCAGCTGAACATAAAACTAATTTTCTTGGTCCTTCTCATGAAATTTAAAATGTCTAAAAGAAATAGTCTTACCTCAGTAAGAGCACATGTTCATCCTGCTAGTTTCTTGCTAGTTGCTGATGCAAAAAAGAAGCTGTAACCGTACAGCACATGAGGCTGCCAAGCCATATGTCATCCTGCATTTATTTAATGCATTTTGCCAGACCTTGTTTGCACTGCTGAAACCAGGTCATATTTTTCTACAGCAGAATACTAGCTGAATCTCATTGTGCCAAGACTGAGTTTGTGGAAGGAACTCAAGAATGCATGTAATTTTCTGCCTTTTTCTCAGTATATGCTTTAATTATGAAAGCATTCATGCAGTTGGCCTCCATCCAAAATCTATTTACAAATGCAGAGGACTGGGCCCTGAGGGAAATTCAGCATTTTCATCCACACGTTCCGGAGCTTAGTGTTATCAGGCTAATCTTTGTGATCTGTCTACCTGTCCTTCACTGGTAGAATTAGGTAGCTGGCTCATCAGAGTTTAGATCAAGGCTCTGTGAATGCTAAGTGTTCCTTCAGAACTAGTGATCAGGCTTCTGAAATTCTGCTTGGTATTTTTCAGGACCTCAGGTCCTTCTCTGCTACTTTTCAGCCAGTTGGCCCCCAGTCTGTCCTGGTGCATGGGAGTTATTTCTGCTTAGGTTCACAACTTTGCCATTCCCTCTATTGAGCTTCCTAAGGTTCCTGACAGCTCGTTTCTCCAGCCTGTTGAGGTGCATCTGAATGACAATACACTTATCTGGGTGTATCAACCACTCCTTCCAGTTTTGTGTCATCTGCATACCTGTTGAAGCACATTCTGTCTTGTCATCCAGGTCATTAATTAAGATGTTACATCTCTTCATTTTTGGGGTGTGCACTGGTGGGGCTGGCCCCAAACTGCAACTCTCTGAGCCTGTGATTAGTTCAGCCTGTTTTCTATCCACCTCACTGTCCTTACCTAGCCCAGACTTGTGAATGAAGATGTTATGGGAAGCAGTATTGAGAGTTATGCTGAAGTCAGAGAATATTGACTGCTCTCCCCTTGTTCACTGAGCCAGTCCTCTCAGAAAGCTATCAAGTTGGTCGTGCATGATTTTTCCAATATGAATATAGGCTGAATATTCCCAAATACCTTCTTGTCCTTTATATGTTTGGAAATGCTTTCTGGGATTAACCGCTCCAACACTTTCACAGGACTTCTGTGAGACAGAGTGGCCTGTATATTTCACTGGATCCTCTGGCCCTTCCTGAAGATAGCAGTGATGTTTACTTTCTTCCAATCCTCAGGAACCTCCCCCATTGCTACCTTTGATTCATTGTCAAGAGTGGTTTTGCAGTGACACCAGCCAGCTCTGTCAGCACTCAGGCGTCTGTGTGGGCCCTCATCAGGGCCAAGAGACTAGTGTATATCCAGCTTATTTAAATGTTTCCTAACCTGATCAGTCTCTACCAAAGGTAAATCTTTCTTGCTGCAGACTTTCATACGAGTTTTTAGAGAATTTGAACTACCAAGGGCAAGTCTTCCCAGTAAAGACTGGGACAAAGAAGGCAATGAGTACCTTGATCTTTTCTCTGGTAAGAAGGTTGTATTACCAAGGCTCTATGCTGCATACCAAGAGAGAAGGAAATAGTCCCACCACATGTATGTCCTATTACAGCTGACAAGATCAAACTGTATGTGTCTCTTTCGCCATTTTACCCTAAATCTTTTTATCCTCAAGGTATACTGAAACACACTGTGTTTCATTGTGCAACCATTACATGGGCTTTTACAGCTGACTCCACCAGCATGAAAACTGGGATTCAAAGTGTCAATATTAAATCTAAAGCATAATTTTTGCATGATCTTTTGGGTGGAGAGTGGGAGGTAGCACAGGATCAAGAGTCTCTTGGGAAAAAGAGCAGTTTTCCATCACATTTTAGAGACATGAAGAGGGACTTGAGAGTGGAACTTCAACAGCACACAAATAGTTTTTGGCTTAGTAGCTGTGTCTTCTTTTGACCCCAGTTGCTCAGCAAGGCCTAGACAGCTGTGTTACACTGGTTGGGTCAGAGCACTAGAGGGCATTTGTGTTGTTCTTAGAGGAACAGCACTTCTGAAGGGCTACACAAGACAAAATATTTCATGATCTGCCAGCTTGGAAGTTACTTGTATTCTTTAGCGTACAGCAGCCCATACACTACTTTCCACCATTCTTTTTACTGCATGTTTACACACTTCTCCAATTCATCTCTTACCTCAAGCTCTGTGCTACAGGACAACTGGAGAAGGCTGTATCTGCCTAGCTTAGCTCTGTGTTATAGGACAACTGGAGAGGGTGGTATCTGCCTTGCTTCTGTGCCTCAGTGCAAGAACTGGAGGCTGCTTAGTACTTATATGCAACTTCTAAGGGCAGAGCTGGTGTTATGCAAGAGGTGCAGATGTATTCCTCCATTGCAGTGCATTCTAACCATGTTTTCAGTACTGGTTCCTGCAAAGCAAATGGCCTTTCTGTTTCTGTTTACCAGATCAACCACAAATACCCAGAGAGACGGCTGCTGGTAGCAGAGTCCTGTGGAGCTCTAGCACCTTACCTTCCAGTAAGTATTAATGCTGGCTCTTAATACTTTGTTAGTGAAAGCAAGGTGAAAATCTCATGTGTAATGCAAGCATCCTTTATGATTTTAAGTATTCAGAAGTGTTTGTGTTATGCATAGACAGTCACATTGTCTTGCTCTTCATACCACACATGAGATTCAATAAATCACATTAAGCTTATTATAATGGTATACAAGTCAATCTAGCTATAAAATGTATTTAAAAACAGTGTGTCCTGAAAAAATCAACTTTGTTTTCGTAAGGATAGTTAGGACCAATTAAGGAAATAATCTCTGAAAAAATAACTGGCACCAAGTGATAGTTCTTCAGACACATATTACATGAAGAGTGCTGCCCTTCAGAAGCTACCGCAAAATTAAGTCAGTGGTGAACTAGAATTTGAAGCTTTAGAGGAAAATAATCCAATTTAAACCTTTCTTCTGCAGTTCAGCAATGCAGTGATTACTGATTCGAAGTCTAGGCCTGTGGCAGTTTTTTGCTCTTAGTACTTTTGGGTTCCATATGAATTAAAGGATCAGAGTTCTGTGCTTAGTAGGACAAAAGACTCTCTAATGAGGCTACTGACATTTTATATTCATTTGTCTTCTGTTGTGAAAACTGAATGTGTAATATTCATATAGTTGGAGGAAGACATTTTGTAAGCACTAATTGAAGCAGAAATTATTTATACAATAGATATAAAGCTGCATTTCTTGTTTTGTGTGATTTAATAAGTGTGTTTCTTGTTTACAAACAGAAAGAAATTCGTAGTTCACTAGTACTTTCCATGCTGCAGCAAATGCTAATGGAAGATAAGGCAGATCTGGTACGAGAAGCTGTGATCAAAAGCCTTGGCATCATTATGGGATATATTGATGATTCAGACAAATATCAACAGGTACAATTTGGTTTGGGTTCTGTATGTATAAAATGTCTTCTATAGTGATTTCGTGCATAGGAGAATGCATAATTTAAAGTATTTTTATTAAATCTTTCCAGATACTTCTAAAAATTTTTCATGGTTTATATGAATGTTCATTTTATTGTATCACCAAGACCGAAAAAAAGAAAGCATAGCTACAAGTATCATTAGAGCCTCAGGTATAAGCCTTATACAGAAGTTTCTGTAATAATTCAAAATTTACCTTCAAGAATATACCAATTCATTTATCACCTGGTACTTCTTAGCCAGTTTGACATCATCACTTGCTAACAGAGACTGGTCTAGTGCAGCTTCAATTTTTGAAGGCAGAGTGGGAGAAGGTGTATTAATTCTGATAACTTGACTGTAGAGAAATGCTAGCAGCATCATTGAACCACCTGCTGTTTACCTTCATAGATCTGGTGGGAATATCTGTTGAAAGGCCTCCATGTACTACCTTGTTTTGTTTTATTCATGCAAAGTAAAGTTGATAATCTTTTCACAGTCTGCATGTTTTGTGGGGGAAACTTTAGCATAAATTTGAGGAAAATAATTACATTCCTTATTGTCTTTTGCCAGGGCTTTGAACTGCTGCTTTCAGCTTTAGGAGACCCTTCAGAACGTGTAGTTAGTGCAACACATCAGGTATTTTTACCTGCTTATGCTGCCTGGACAACAGAACTGGGAAATTTACAGTTCCATCTCATACCTACGCTGCTTAATAAAATTGAAAAACTGCTCAGGGTACGTGTCCAGCTGTTTCTACACTGGAGAATTTTCATTGTATCTTTATTACATATGCAGACCTTATTTAAAAAATGCACAAATATACATAATTGCTACTTAATATTCTGTGGGGGAAAATTTTTCTGGAGATTCTTGTTGTAACTCCATAACTTTCACTTGTCCTTTGAAGGCGGGGGGCAGGTGTAAGGTAGAAACCCATCCCAAAACCTAAAAATATTCTTCTTTAACAGTGTTTTCTTTTATAACCCAGTAATCAAAATACAGCTTAGAAAATGCTTGCCTGGGGCTGTGACCAGATGATAGGTGTTATTCTGAGTGCATTTGAAAATGTAAATTGTTTTCAGAGTGTCACATGGTGTAGTTTTTTGATAAAGTGCATTTTACTTATTTTTTTTGTTTAATAATAGAATTGAATAGTTTAGTTGGGTTGTTTGCAATTATCAGCCAGTTTGTCTGCACACTTGATTTGGTAGATATCTGGAAAATAGGGTATCTCATAATGATCTAACACACTTAACCAAGATGTTTGTTTTCAGAGTATAGGCAACTTTATTTAGTTTTTATATCCACTGGTCTCTGAGACCAAGGATTCACATTTCCAAAATGTCCTGGAAAATGTTCTTTCAGAATATCAGTACATTCATTGACATGAACTGCTAAATGCCAAGGGCTGTATTACTTGAATGTTTTGAGTAGAAGTGACTTAAGGGTGACAAGGGGATTTGGATGGTAACACAGAGTAAGCTTGTGGTTAGGATAAATTACTATATAATTAGTGTCTCTGTGTAGAAGCTTGTCACAGATGTGTTGAACTCTTGCCAGGGAATACATGCCTGAGCAACAGATCATTCAAACCCAAAACTTGAAGTAAATGTCCTGTTCCTTTCAGGAAGGAGAACATGGCTTGGATGAACATAAGCTCCACATGTATCTGTCTGCTCTACAGTCATTGATTCCTTCACTGTTTGCACTGGTGCTACAGAATGCGCCTTTCACAAGCAAGGCTAAACTTCAGGGAGAAGTACCACAAATAGAAGGTAAATTATTCATTTCTGATATGTGGAATTTTTATAAACTTAAGTTTAATTCAATGACAAATCTCAAATCACTATTATTTGCAAAAGGAATAATTTCAGGTAGTCCAGGGTGCTCCACATTTGCTTGGGATTTGTGTATGTTTCAGGTTACTAAGTAGACAAAAGTTGCAGAATATATGTGTAAACATCAGATTTTTATAGCACACTGTCTGTATTGTAATGATTTGAGGTTGTCTCCAAGCCTTTTTTTCGAGTCTACTTTTTTATTATGCTCATAATTTCATATACAGCAAGTACAAAGAAAGAAATTCAGGGAACCTTTGTCATGTTGTTAATTTTCTTTTGTTAATATTTCTGATTTGGTAGAGAGAATTTTTTTATTTCCTTAAAGGCAGATTCCAGCATGGGAAGATTTATCTTGACTTGTAATGACTTTTTTAATTTGTTCTGCTTTTCCCTTTTTGGGAAAAGATCTTTCTACTTCCTTACCTCCTTCTGCTCCTCCTTCATTCCTATGAAAAAAATGAGCCTGGCATGAAACCTTATCAGAGATTTAATTAATTACAAATATCAGTTTATTGATGCAGAAGAAATATGTAACTTGTGAATATTTATGGAATGATTGCTGATAGAATAAAGGAGAACTGAATGGTGTCCTTATGGATTTTTTTTAGTATGTATTTAGCAGAGTTACAGACAAAATGGCTTCTTTTTTGTGCCCAGTGACATAGCTTTATGTAATCCAATGAGAATCTTGCAATGAGAAACTTTGTTCTCCTATACAACATAAATTGTGGAGAAAAAACACAGTTTTGCCTTTGGTGTTTTTGCCGAAGATGTTTTTTCATATTGGTCTCCCTTAGCAAATCCTTGAGGAGTGCTTCCTTTTTCCACCCTTTTCCGTGCTTGAGAGACCTGATTATCACAAAAAAATAAAGGTTTTATTTAATCGCTCATTATTTCTTTCTACTTCTTAAAAAAAGCTTTTGAGAAACTGAAGTAATTCTTAACTGGACTTCCTAAAGGTTTCTGAAGAGTCAGTTTCCACTAATAGCCAATGGTAGCTCAAGAAGGCTGGCTTCTGTTTCAGTTTATCTCCCAAATAAATTTTAGGAAGTGGGAAGAATACAGTGTAGTGCAGGAGCTTCACCATCTGTTCTGTATCTATGTAATAACTTGGCAGACTGAATGGCCTTTTAGTGAAGTTATGCCTACATCACTCATCCTAACATGTAGGACATTTTCTCCTTTTACAAATACTTTTAGAAGATATTATTGGTAATACCTGCCACATGCTGATAATAGTGCTGTGTGTGAAGGTGCAAAGAAAGGATAACAGCTTTAAAGGAGAATTCATAAAGTACCTAGTGACACGTTACTGTATGATACTAATTTGAAAATGTTAACTGTCCTGTGGTGGAATTTGATCAGCTGACTTGAGTCATTTGAGGATGAGCACTTTTTCCCTGAGTGGCTACTGTTTAAATAAGGAATTAAAAAATTTCAGGCTTCAGCCTAGTCTGGCAGTTTTTTCCTCCAAAAAGCAGTGGGGAAAAAAAACCAAAACTCAATAATTTTCACTAATCCAGTAGCACTGCAGCAACTGCAAGCTTAACGTCTTGAATTTTGCAGGAGAGATGATGCTCTCACTGCTTAACTTCACTGCTGAATAATTTTAAGTATGCTTGACATGAATTGAGAAGAATAAAAGCAATTTTGGTGTAGCAGGCTTTCAATCTGTAGATATTTTAATGGCTGAGAAATTGTTTGAGGTTGTGCTTTTTACTTGTAAATTATCATCTTCTGATAATTCAAATAAGGAGTTGGGGAAGGGAGTGGGGTGAGTCAAAAAGTACTGCATATATGGATGTTGGCTGGAGCAGTTTGGTGCTTAAAGTGTTAGCAACAGAAGTCAGGAGACCTTGCCTAAAAGTCCATCTGCAGTCTGTTCTTTGGGATCACAGAATGGTTTGGGTTGGAAGGGACCTTTAAAGGTCATCTAGTCCAACCCTCCTGCAGTGAGCAGGGACAGGTGTCTCAGCTGCACTACTCAGCTTGGTGCCATCTGCACACTAAATCCCACTATCTCATCAGTGAAAATACTAAACAGTAACTGGTCCAAACAGAAACTCACCCAGCAGAAAACCACTTGTCACTGATCTCCGCCTGGACATGGAGCCCTTGACCACTCTCCTCTGGATGCAAACATCCCCCTAATTCTGCATCCACTGAAAGTCCATCCATCAAGTCCGTATCTCTCCAGCTTGGAGAGAAGCATGTTGTAGGGTGACCACCTTAAAGGCCTTCCGGACAAACAATCTCCATAGCTCTTCCCTTCTCCATTGATGTCATTTCTCCATCATAGAAGGCTACAGGGTTGGTCAGGCAAGACTTGCCCTTGGTGAAGCCATGCTGGCATTGTTTTGTTTTTTGAAATGAGGGTTATGTAAGCTCTTCAGAAATTGATTTAACTCACTGATTTTTAAAAAGCCATTTTCTGGCTTTTTTAGCTGTCTTTACTGACATCACCTCCCAGGTATTCTCGTCTTCCGTTTTTCATGATGGCTTCTTTGCTGTTACAGTCACTAGATTTCCCCGACCCATATCACCTCTTCAGGATGTGGCCATCATCATTGGAAGCCGTGAACAACTGGCAGTGTTGCTGCAGCTCTATGACTATCAGCTAGAACATGAGGGGACTACAGGCTGGGAGACTCTCCTATGGGTAGTCAATCAACTGTGAGTTAATTTGTATCTTACGATTCCAAATTTTAAAGTGTGTCAATAATTCTTAGGCATGATTATGTTTAACAATTAGTAAGAATTTTAAGTGGTGTTGTGTTTAAAAATTATTAAAGATAAAAAGATTGAACTTCATTTTTTGGTATTTCAGTTTCCATACTGAACTCACTTTGATTTTATTCAGAAAATATCAGCTATCTAGCAAAACTTGTAGGTAACTACTTTTTAAAAAAAATTTTCTTTCATCTTTGCACTAATATAGTCCAATTCTATGTTGAAATTAAGGTTATTGTAGTCTGAATATGTCATGAAAAACACTGTTCTGCAGTAACAGATGTTTGAGAATATATATCAGACTTTTCTGGCACTTAAGCCCTTCCTTTCTTCAAGGGTCAGAAATTGTACAGAACACGCAGAGAATTTTATTAGAACCAGTAGTGCTCTGTATCTGTATATATATTTATTAATATAGACAATAAATCTGTACAAAAATAACTGGAGAGAAACAAAAGATCAGAGTAGTATTTAATATCCTTTTGTTTCCTGATTTTTAGGCTACCACAACTTATAGAAATAGTTGGCAAGATCAATGTAGCATCAACTGCCTGTGTACATGAGTTCTCTAGATTTTTCTGGAGACTTTGTAGGACATTTGGGAAAATTTTTACAAATGCTAAGGTAAGATACTGCCTTAGAGAGCTTTGATAATATAGTCTCCATACTTATGGTGTGTCTGAATACCCACACTTTATGTAACCATTTACATTTGCATGACACACTGATGCTTTTCCATAAGTACATTTAAACCTGCTATTTTTAAACCTCTGTTTTGGTTTCTCTTTTTGACCATTTTGGAATGGCTGCCTCATCTTGCCAAACATGGAAAGATGTTTGGTTTGGTGGGGTTTTTTTAAACTGTAGTCTTCATAGTTTCTTTTTGAATGACATAGAGGATGTGAGTGATCATACTAATTCTAGTAATTTAACAATCTGCTTTCATCAGAACAGCATAAACTGTTCAGTGGTTTTGGCATGCGTATGTACTCTGTCTTGTACATTCAATATTTGAATTCTGTTCAAAATTAATGCCTTCCCTGCCTGAAATATATTCTATAGGTGATTATCTAAACATTTTTATCAAGGAAAAGTATAGTTTTTCTCAAAATAACTTCTGAATATAATTCAAAAATATTTGAAAGGGAAATATATACAACATGAGGGGATTACTTAAAGATAAAATTATGAAACAGGGCTAGCATTATGTGCTGCCTCCAGAGAGGAGATTAAAAACAGTCTCTGGCCTTTGAAACCCCATTCTGTGAGTTATCTTCAGAACCTTTGGTTCTATAACGTTGTTCTGATACCGATTATCACAGCTGTATTTTGGAATATAACACTTCAAAGATTTTAAAAAAACTCTTTTATTTTTTTTTACCATAGAGCTTTTTAAAGCCATAAAACCTAAAGCCCCACTAAGCATACTGCCAAGAGACAAGCTTTTTTTATCAGGAGTGCTAAATACTACAGTGTGGGTACTCAATAGAAGTTTTTACTCTTATGTTACTTCAATTTTTGTCAAAGATAGCTATGCTTTTTAAAGGGTATTTTTGTCTTTCAGTACCTTCACAATGTCCTTTTTTCTGTTGTTTTTTAATTATTTAGAATTTTTTTTCCTAAGTTAATTGACACAAGTAAGAGGTTTTCTTACATGACATTCATCATCCTTTGTATAGGTAAAACCACAGTTCCAGGAAATCTTAAGACTATCTGAGGAAAACATAGGTAAGTTGCTTTTTACTCAGTAAGAGTTAATCTTAACCTCAACTGGGAAAAAACCTGTCATTCTCTTGTTCAAATAACATTTTCACAATGTGTTCCTCAGATTAGGTATCTTTCTTAAATGTTGAAAGTCTAATCCAATTCTGAATGGAACACCCTCAAGTTGTAGATTTGAGTGTGTGTAAAGTACAAATCAAATCAGAAATCCAGCTACCACTTGGGCATTCTTTTAGCACATATGTGCATGTAGATATGCATATATAGCTATATAAATTCTTCATGTATGTATATATAATACAATACACATGTCTACCTTTATACATATTTATATATAAAAATATATAGTGTATATGTATACACACATATATGTATCTGTATGCATATATAAAGCCTAAATCCTTCACTGTGTCTCATAGATTCCACAGCAGGTAATGGAGTGTTAACAAAAGCCACGGTTCCCATCTATGCAACAGGGGTCCTTACATGTTATATTCAGGTAGGTTTATTTTTCTGTTTCTTTGTTAAATGTATTACAAATAAAATTGATTCTACCAAAAACTCTTACTGTATTGTTTGAAAACTTAGAGTGCTCCTGTGCTTTTGAAGATAAGTAGATAAGTGGGCAGACGTAAACACATTTAAAAGCAAAGTTTTCTGGTCAGGTTGTGTACTACATTATATTCAAAAAGTCATGGCAGTCT